TATATATATATATATATATATATATATATATATATATATATATACACTATCCATTCCTGCGTCGTTCTAAATTTTATATTCTATGGATTAGCGTAGCAAACACTGCAAGACTATAAGGCCTACCTACCCAAGAGACAGAGCAAGAAACTACGTAGTGAGCTCAGAGTAAAGATCTTCCTGAATCGTATACCAACCTCAAAGTTTACTCCCACTTAAAATTTAAATAAACACAACAGATTTACTTGACAATAACTGTCCATGGCCGTATGTAGGTATTTGGGATGTAAATACTACAACCAGTTGCAACACTATCATGAGGGGGAAAAATAAACTACATCTGATCAATGACTAACGTTTTAGGCTAATAAACTCTTTGAATACCACTATTTTGGGGGCATATTTCTCCTCTTTCAGGCATTTAATAATTAATCAATGCACTGAAGCATATTCTGAAATGTGCTCTCATAATTGAAGGAGGCACCAGCGTTCTTTGTTCATCTTACTTACCCAATCCATATAACGTAGTTACAGACCAGTTGCTCTCATCTCCCTGTACTGTATCAGAGCAGATTAAAGCATATGAAGCCTTGAATCATCAAGATTGTCAGGTGTGGATTATGCTCTCCGTAAAAATCAATTTATTACCTACATGTGAAGATAAAGGTGCATGCCGCATTGTAGCTGCTAAGTTGGATAAGTACATTCAACCTGGTTCAACTTATTTTCCAACACTCAATGCCAATACACTGTAGACTGCTTATTTCAATTGAAAATTTCAGATATCCTAGGCTCCAAAGTATTTCCGCAAATTTTCACTTAACGAGAACTCCTTTGGTTTATGTTTCAAGTAATGTGTAGGTACTGTAGGTGTAGAGTAGAATGTCAAATCTTGGAACGATAACTTTGAACCAGTCAGTAAATAATGATCTTCAAACCAAAGGCATTATTTAAAAGAAATTAGATCATAGAATTGGGTAACTGAGTAAAATGCGCAACAAACCATTCCAATTTGACCAAGTGTTTTTGTCCAACAGTTCCACACGCAATACATTATGTTTACATGACAATGGACCACAAGACAGGGTACAAAGTCAAGCATTCTGATACATGCTTTCTGAACCAAAATTTTACACAGACTAAGATTTGCGCAGCTAAAATTACTGAAATTAACTCCTTCCCAATATATTTACTGTTTCTTGATGCGTGAATTCAAACCTCCCGCTCATGAAAACTTAATGGTCTACGTGACTCAAATCGCACACACTACAAATTACCATGACACTCTCTGCGATATGAAAATCTGGCAACCTCAAGCTTGACGCTTTGGCTCAGCTGTAGAAAGTTGTTTGTAGTTTGAGCAACACAGGGTGGGAAATAAACACTGCTGAGTCGAGAAGCCTCTCGAAAGCGTTGTATAGTACGCGATTGGACCAGGGCCGGATTAGGGGGGTGGCCACATGGGCCGTGGCCCATGGCGGCAAATCTATAGGGGACGGCAAATTTTGCAATTTTTTTTAATGTAGGTATAAAAAAAAAATCGGATTTAGAAAAAAAAAATTACAAACGAGAAAAGGCGGCAAAATCTCTAATTTTCTGAAAGAATAGTAATTTCTACTTTTGCCGTCTTTCAGTGATACAAGAGGCAGCACCTTTAATTAGTCGAGTTAAGAGAGAAACCAAACACGCAGTTTGGCCTGGAGCAGCCAAAACACGAAGCGCCTGGAAAGGCCTGAAAGCGACTTACCTAGAGAGAAATGATGACGAGGACTTGCGATGAAAAGGAGAAGCCCTCGGCGCGGCGATCGGCATGTAACACATATTAGCTCCTACATCTCTCTCGCACTCATTGATCAGATGCAACATTCCGCGGCTCGTCAAAGGGACACCTGGCGCACACACACACTCGCGAAAATACAGTCTGGGCCTCGTAATTTGACCCGCGGTGGTAGTGCGCTTAGAAATTCCGTTGCCGGCAAAAGCACCCAAGTGCTTTTCGAGCGTGAGCCCGGGAAAGAACGGCCGTAAACGGGGAGCAGGGCTCATCTTGGATTGGTCGATACGCTCATTTGTCGTCTCTCTCTCTCGCACTCATTGGGCAGATGCGGCACGTCAAAGGAGACCACTCGGCATTGCCAAGCCGCCTCGGAATCGTCCATCTCTCTCGCACTCATTGATCAGATGCAACATTCCGCGGCTCGTTAAAGGGACACCTGGCGCACACACACACTCGCGAAAATACAGGCTGGGCCTCGTAATTTGGTCCGCGGTGGTAGTGCGCTTAGGAATTCCGTTGCCGGCAAAAGCACCCAAGTGCTTTTCGAGCGTGAGCCCGGGAAAGAACGGCCGTAAACGGGGAGCAGGGTTCATCTTGGATTGGTCGATACGCTGTTTTGTCGTCTCTCTCTCTCGCACTCATTGGGCAGATGCGGCACGTCAAAGGAGACCACTCGGCATTGCCAAGCCGCCTGGGAATCGTCCATCTCTCTCGCACTCATTGATCAGATGCAACATTCCGCGGCTCGTCAAAGGGACACCTGGCGCACACACACACTCGCAAAAATACAGGCTGGGCCTCGTAATTTGGCCCGCGGTGGTAGTGCGCTTAGGAATTCCGTTGCCGGCAAAAGCAACCAAGTGCTTTTCGAGCGTGAGCCCGGGAAAAAACGGCCGTAAACGGGGAGCAGGGTTCATCTTGGATTGGTCGATACGCTGTTTTGTCGTCTCTCTCTCTCGCACTCATTGGGCAGATGCGGCACGTCAAAGGAGACCACTGGGCTTTGCCAAGCCGCCTGGGAATCGTCTATCTCTCTCGCACTCATTGATCAGATGCAACATTCCGCGGCTAGTCAAAGGGACACCTGGCGCGCACACACACACTCGCAAAAATACAGGCTGGGCCTCGTAATTTGGTCCGCGGTGGTAGTGCGCTTGGGAATTCCGTTGCCAGCAAAAGCACCCAAGTGCTTTCCGAGCGTGAGCCCGGGAAAGAACGGCCGTAAACGGGGAGCAGGGCTCATCTTGGATTGGTCGATACGCTGTTTTGTCGTCTCTCTCTCTCGCACTCATTGGGCGGATGCGGCACGTCAAAGGAGACCACTCGGCTTTGCCAAGCTGCCTGGGAATCGTCCATTTCTCTCGCACTCATTGATAAGATGCAACATTCCGCGGCTCGTCAAAGGGACACCTGGCGCACACACACACTCGCAAAAATACAGGCTGGGCCTCGTAATTTGGTCCGCGGTGGTAGTGCGCTTAGGAATTCCGTTGCCGGCAAAAGCACCCAAGTGCTTTCCGAGCGTGAGCCCGGGAAAGAACGGCCGTAAACGGGGAGCAGGGCTCATCTTGGATTGGTCGATACGCTGTTTTGTCGTCTCTCTTTCTCGCACTCATTGGGCAGATGCGGCACGTCAAAGGAGACCACTGGGCTTTGCCAAGCCGCCTGGGAATCGTCCATCTCTCTCGCACTCACTGATCAGATGCAACATTCCGCGGCTCGTCAAAGGGACACCTGGCGCACACACACACTCGCAAAAATACAGGCTGGGCCTCGTATTTGGCCCGCGGTGGTAGTGCGCGGGGGAATTCCGTTGCCGGGAAAAGCAACCAAGTGCTTTTCGAGCGTGAGCCCGGGAAAGAACGGCCGTAAACGGGGAGCAGGGCTCATCTTGGATTGGTCGATACGCTGTTTTGTCGTCTCTCTCTCTCGCACTCATTGGGCAGATGCGGCACGTCAAAGGAGACCACTGGGCTTTGCCAAGCCGCCTCGGAATCGTCCATCTCTCTCGCACTCATTGATCAGATGCAACATTCCGCGGCTCGTCATAGGGACACCTGGCGCACACACACACTCGCAAAAATACAGGCTGGGCCTCGTAATTTGGTCCGCGGTGGTAATGCGCTTAGGAATTCCGTTGCCGGCAAAAGCACCCAAGTGCTTTTCGAGCGTGAAACCGGGAAAGAACGGTCGTAAACGGGGAGCAGGGCTCATCTTGGATTGGTCGATACGCTGTTTTAACGTCTCTCTCTCTCGCACTCATTGGGCAGATGCGGCACGTCAAAGGAGACCACTGGGCTTTGCCAAGCCGCCTCTGAATCGTCCATCTCTCTCGCACTCATTGATGAGATGCAACATTCCGCGGCTCGTCAAAGGGACACCTGGCGCACACACACACTCGCGAAAATACAGGCTGGGCCTCGTAATTTGGTCCGCGGTGGTAGTGCGCTGGGGAATTCCGTTGCCGGCAAAAGCACCCAAGTGCTTTCCGAGCGTGAG